AATCGCCGGTGACCCACAGACGACTTTCTTGCTATCCACGTGCTCTCCTCCCATTTGTTCCCCTTCATTCAATGCACTTTATTAATCCCAAACGTGTTCTTCTCGTTTCTCTCTTTCTCTCCCCAAACCTCCCCTCAGGCGAATATCCTCTACCAACGCCATATCTCCGCAAAGAATCTTTCTACTTATGTATGAACGGATGGGCCTCTGCAGGTGAAGATATAGATAGAGACACAAGAGAGATTAATGGGTCAGAGAGTCCCAATTTTTTGAGACCCACCCTCCCACTTAAGGGTGCCCCCAAATTTCTCAGACACTGAAAAAGATAGAAAAAGTGTAAAGTTGTGGTCTTGGAGGCTGCCGGGTTAGGTCTTAACTTACTTTTCCTCCACTGTATGATTCTTATATGCATGGGAATTGTGTGTTTGGTGCATATGGACAGTTGATTTAGTTCCTGTAGTAGTGGGTCTCTTTACTTTCATCTCCTTTATCTATTCGCATCTCGATCATTTTGATATTCTTCATATTTCAAATTCATTCAGAGTCAAGAAAAGTCCCAAACTTTGGGATGATTTCGTTTAGGGGCGTGTGTGATTGCTTGACATCCTTCAGATATTTGGGATTTGGATGGTGATTTTAGATATGGGTATTGGAATTCTTGGTGGGTTATGAATCAATTTGGTGAGCTTAGAAGGTAGTTCTGAAGAATTGGGCTGGGAAAGGATGGGTTTTGGTCAATTAGAGAGTATGGGGGTTTTGGGTATGAAGAGGCACTTGGGTATAATCTAATTAGGTTTCTGGACTATGAGCTGCGGGAGTGAGAAGAGCAGAGTAGGAGGAGGAGAAGAGGATGGAGAATATGAGAAAACCAAAGAGGAAGAGGAATATGACAGAAATTTTGGTGATCGAGATTCGGTTGTCAGGTTATCATTGAATGGACCGATCCTAGACTCGCAGCAACTTTCTATTGATGAGAGAGTGCTGGTTGACCCAAAACTGATATATATTGGATCCAAAATTGGCGAAGGAGCTCATGGAAAAGTCTACCAAGGAAGGTTTGTCTAATCTACACTATCATTATTCAATAGCATTGGTCATGCTTCAGCTTTACAGAAATTCAGTGGCGATCATCATGTTTGATGTCCTACTAAAATATTGATTTGTGTATTTAATTTGCATAGCTCATCAACCGATGATACTGAGGTCTGAGGGCAGTTGGTTCTGCTTTTTGTAACTAATTCTCAGATTCCGTGTTGAACACAAACAGTATGATAGTGTTTGACAATGTTTTTGTTGTTTGGCTATCAGCTTCTGTCACACACATAAGAGACAGAAGTTGAAAAGTTCCTCTGATGTGCTTTTGGATTATGTGTTTAAAATGATCAGTTTTCTAGAATTTTGTAGCCAGATCAAACACCCTCACTATTTCATTGGTTTTCTTGAGAAAAGTGTAGTTCTCAGATTTTCATTGATAAGATATTACCCTATCTCCAACTACGTTTCTGTTCGCAGGTATGCGGATCAGATTGTTGCCATAAAAGTTCTGAAACGCGGGGATACCACCCAAGAAAGGTCTGCGCTGGAAAGTCGATTTGTGAGGGAAGTAACCATGATGTCAAAGGTAAAACATGAGAACCTTGTGAAGGTGAGTATTTTTATTTTCTAAGTTCTTTCTATATCTGTGTGTTTATGGTAATTGTATACAATCTTTAATCCTAGTTTGATCATTTAGTAATCTGTATGTGTTGAGTTTGATTATTTTTGTAGTCAGTCTCATCTTTAGATAAATTTCGTTTTATATACACGATCTCAATGCTTATTTCATATGATAACTTCCTGGACTTTTATCTTCAATCATTCACATTTTTATTTTGTTTCTTTGCAGTTTATCGGGGCTTGTAAGGATCCTTTGATGGTTATTGTGACAGAGCTACTACCAGGAATGTCCCTCAGAAAGTATCTAGCCAGTCTTCGTCCAGGAAAGCTGGACCTTCTTGTGGCACTAAATTTTGCCCTTGACATTGCGAGGGCAATGGAGTGTTTACATGCTAATGGGATTATACATAGAGACCTAAAACCCGGTACAAAGTAGCTAGTTGTGCTGTATTAGAGTTTTAAATTTTCTTGTAATTTTTGTTTGTTGAAAAATTTATGGAGAAACCATGCAATGTTGACCATTTTATCATTACTTGTCATGGATACAGATTTAATACATTCTTCTTTTGGCTGATTTACTATTATAATTTCTGTTCTGCAGATAATTTATTGCTCACAGCCAACCAGAAGTCTGTGAAGCTTGCAGATTTTGGGCTTGCAAGGGAAGAAACTTTGACTGAAATGATGACTGCCGAAACTGGGACCTATCGTTGGATGGCACCGGAGGTTTGGGAATATGACTTGCATTGTACTTTCATCTTAAATCACAAGTTTTTTCGCTATAAAAAATAGAATGAATTCCAATAAGCGTCCTTTATAACATAGGGGTTTCCATGTATAGTCCACTTTAGGAAAAATTGTATTCATGATCCTTTATATTTAGGAACTATCCCATGACAAGTCCTTTTGGGACTTTTCGTGGAATAGTTCCCAAATATAGAGCGGTATGTCCTCAAAAGGCTTATTTGGGAGTAGTTCTCAATTATAGAGGACCATGAATATAATACTTTCCCAAAGTGGACTATACATGCAGAAACACCTATGTTATAAAGGGCATTTTAGGAAATCACTCTAAAAAAATATGAATGGGATTGTGCACTTCTGCAGCTGTACAGCACGGTGACTCTGCGTCAAGGAGAGAAAAAGCATTACAACAATAAAGTCGATGTCTATAGTTTTGGCATTGTCCTTTGGGAATTGCTAACAAACCGCATGCCATTTGAGGGAATGTCGAATTTGCAGGCTGCTTATGCCGCAGCTTTTAAGGTACAAATGATTTCCAGTTTTTTTTATATATATATTTTATTTTATTATAGGAACGAACATAATTCGGTTCTTTTTTATGACTTGGTAACACAGCAAGAGAGACCGATACTTGGAGAAGAGATTCCACCCGATTTAGCATTCATCACACAGTCATCCTGGGTTGAAGACCCTAACATGCGGCCAAGCTTTGGTCAGATCATTCGGATGCTGAATGAATATCTGCTAACGCATGCATCCCCTCCCACATCTAGCAATGACGCCGTAGTTGAGTTTTCAACAAGAGGCAAAGGTAAATTCTCCTTTTTCCGCCAGCTTTTCGCTGCGAAAAAGGCTAAAAACTCGCAATGAGGGAGACATCCATGATGATGATGATGATGATGACGATAATGATCCTTAACCAATAATAAAAAAACGATAGAGAAAAAAACGGTTCCTACTTCTTGAGATGATGACTCGGCCGTTGTATTGTAAAGGAAATGCCGGTTCAAGTCATACTAGCCATGTTTGGCACTCATCTCTTAGCCGTTGGATGTTTGTGTTAGCCGTCTGTGTGTCATAAATCTCATTGTGTTCATATTCCAAATCTAATGGAATTTTATGTCTACAAATCGCAATGGGGTTTGTAAGTAGTCAATCGATTTGTTTGCATTTGAGATATTTCTATTTTATCGTTTGGGGTAACATTTGCTTCTCTTGTGGACGTGGGTAACTGAGTTCTCGGAATTTGTCCCACTAACTAGGGATGAACATGAGACGGTTTTAAAAAACTTGTATCCTCCCATACTTCGGATTTTTTTGGAATTAAAAACCTTGGTTTGTTCCGTGTGCCCTGCCAAAAATGTGTAGCATCTCCATCGATTTGTACCAACTTTTGGTACGGTTCAAAATTATTCATCAGTGTTACTTTGGTATTCTTTAAAAAAAGTCAAACATGGAAAAACTTCTATTCTATATTTTTCTGGACTACAAACTACTCATTCCGTCTCACTGTATTTGATCAGTTTGATTTTTTTATGTTAAATTTAAACATTTAATGAACCTCAACAATCAATTACTCTACATTTGTATTGTATATTACTCCCTCCGCCCCAATTCATAGTACCTGTTACGGCTTACGATGTTTGACTGAAATTATTTTCAAATCATTTGATATGACAAATGGTATAGAGTTAAAAAATAAAAAATTACATATTAAAATATTACATCAAAAGATCTACAAAGCTAATAATGACAATAATACTTTATTTTATCAAATACTTTCTTAATCTACTGACGTACAAGAAATCAATATCTTCATTGAAGTTTGAAATTGTGACTTCTGATTTAGAGAATTTATCCGGTTTGACGAGAAGATATTTGGCAATAAAAACTTCTACCAATTCAAGTTTTAAAATATATACTTTATTAGTTGCAAACTTTAAAAAAAAGCTACTCGGGGTACATTAAACTACTACTACTACTACTTTAAGTAAGCTTTTTGCAAAAAATAGTACTTAAAAAACATCATCTAATGGTGTACACCACTCCATTCTATACCACATATATTAACAAATAAAATAAACAAGGGTTGAACTTCTCCCTTGGCTTGAGTGGTAGCAAGTCTACTCCTCAGGATTCATGGGGAAGTTCACCCAGGTTTGAGAATAGTATGAACAGATACTACCTTGTAATAGAATTAATAGCATTCAAAAAAAATAAAAAAAGGTAAATAATGGTGTACATTTGGGATATACCAAAAGTGTGCCCTAGCATTTCCGAAAAGTACACGTATTTCTCCTAAAAAACTCCTATTTCACCAATTAACTTTGGTAATTGGCGTTAAAAAAAAGAAAACTTTGGTAATTGGTAACCTATTGAAGGATAGAGGCCCCTTTTCTTTGCTGAGCTCAAATCCCATCACAAAATGGAAAAGTCAAACCTATTGTCGTGTACCCTCTCCATCTTCTTCCAGTCGTACGATAACATCAGCCCTCCACTCAAAACAGATCAACGGTGGAAATCTGAAGCTGGTGAACGATCAGGTAAACCACGTGTGATTTCCCGCAGTAGAAAGAACAGTAAATCAAAGTCAGGAGTCAATGGCACTTCCAACAACAGTGGTTAGATACTGCAACAACAAAAGTACACGGTAGAGAGATGATGACAGGGATCAAAGGAGACATATATAGAAGCAGAAGATAGATATATAGAGAGAGAGAACAGAAGAGATTATATAAAAGTTTTTATTTTGGAAGATTCAAGATCTGGACTTAGCTGAGATTTTGGGTTCAAATCTTTCTTGGTAATATTCTCAGTCAACCTTATCCGACGTTTGGAGAAACTTTTCTGATGAGGGTAATGAAATTTGTAGCTTTGGTAGCTTTCTGATCTGGAAAAAAGATTGAATCTTTATTCTTGATTCGATTGTGGTATTGCTTGGGGTGAATCAAGAAAGGGTTAGCATTTGGTCAAATTGAGTTTTTTTTCCCTGGATTGTTGTTCTCTCTGTGGTGATTAAGCTTTGATTGGAATTGGGTTCTTTTCCTTTGGCATCTAGAATTTGACTTTGCCCTTTTTTTGGTGTTTTTTTGAACAAAAATTAGGGGACTGGGTTTGAGGTGATGAAATGGAGGAAAAGGAAGCAGCTTTGCACACTGCTATAAATGCAGTGCAGGCATTGGGGAGGGGTTTTGATGTGAATTATGATACAAGATTGCTCTACTGTAAGGGAGTGGCTGGATCAAGGGTTGTTGAGATTGATGAAGAACACAAGAGGGATGTTTGCTTGTATGGTAATATCGTAGTGCCCAATGTCTCAAGGGACGTTATGAATACCCAAGAAACCGGTGGGCGTGATGGCTCTGGTGTTTGCAGCTATGCTGAGGTAAAGTTGTCGAATTTGAGTTTTCCTTTTTTGTTTGTAAATGCCTTGCACACTCTGATTTGAATGTGTTTCTGTTGGAGATTTCGACGTAATGGAAGCTTATTAGGAGGAATATGAGCTGTATGAGAAGTGTTTACATAAATACGTGGTATATGGTATCAAACGAGTAAAAGGGAAATTGAAGAATAAAATGAAATGGCCAAGAAAACAAATGGTGGCAAGAGAGATCTATAGATTAGAGGTAACGGAAAATTGTGAGATTGATACAAAGTTGGTGATTCTGAAATGTGGGAAGGGATTATGGCGTTTAAATGTTAGGAGAGGGATATTTTAGAGCATACAAGGTTTTAAGGTAGGTGAGCACAACTTTGGGAGTTGAGATGATCCATTGGTGGCAACTTTGAAGGATTGGGAGTATAAGATCGATAGGTCTTTGTCAGTTATAGAAAGACAGGTAGGTTCATGTTTGTTGTAGAATAAGGCGATATGAATTTATGCATGTGTGGTAAATATGGATAGTGGAGTAACAGTTAGTCCATGCAATTTTCGACGTTGATCATGGGCCAACTGGAAACAGACTCTCTATGTTTTAACATAGGGGTGAGGCTGAGTACATCCGACCCCCCCCCCCCCTACCCTGCAATGGGTGGGAGTCTTTGAGTCACTGGGGTAATGTTGTTGTTTTTTGTTGTTGTGGTAAATATGGATAGGAAGGGCATATAGCGTACTTAATACTGTAATTAAGTTGGATTGATCATTGGAGAACTACTCATTTGGTGAAGGGCATAGAGGTAGGAGATATCCATTTGTCTTTTGCAGCATCACTCTCTAGTTTACTAATGAGCAGTGTCTGTGTGTGTATCTAAACAATCCAGAATTTACCATTCACGGACTTTTTTTTGGGAACAGTAACTAAAGTGTCTTCAAATATAATTTATATACAGATGGTGGAGTTTTTCAATAGAAAGGCCAATCTATCGGGGCATGCTCCTCTCGGTAGCTTCAATGCTTCATTCAGCTTCACTGGTTCAAAGGAAATAGATGCTGCCACGACAAAGACCCTTTGTATGGATGGATTTTTTATTCCACTCGCTAAAATTGAGCTGATGAAAATGCCTCTGGTTTTGCAAGAAAATGTCAGGAGAGCTGTGCCAATGTCATGGGACCCACCCGCATTGGCTAGGTTAGGATGTGCCATATACTCGCTTCAATTACTGTTGCAGGCTCGCTAGCATTCAATTTACTAATATAAATGTGGTTGTGTTTCGTTTCAGCTTCATAGAAAATTTTGGGACACACGTTATTACATCCATCACTATTGGGGGCAAAGATGTAATTTATGTTAAGCAGCATCTCTCGTCCCCTCTATCTACCGTAGAGATAAAGAATTATATTCAAGAAATTGGAAACCAGAGGTTTTCCAGCATCGAGAGCCTTACAAACTCTGGGCTATTGAAGTACAAGGATAAGGCTAGTTCCTTACTTCATATTCTCTTCTTTAGTCAGCTTGTTTCTTTGTTTTCTAACTCTTTCTTGGTAGTTTGACTTTTCAGGGCAGTGATCCATCATTGTTCAATAGCCAGGGGATATACCCTCAGCCTACTAGTGCTCCGTTTCTTGCTGGGAATGGGAAAGAGGTACGGAGTATTAATAAATGTTTTTTTTCTAAATATCTAATCGTGTTTAGATTATGATATTATTGAGTTTAGTGGACCTGAATTTTATTTGATGGATCTTATGCAGGACGTTACAGTCATTTTCAGACGAAGGGGAGGGGATGATCTAGAGCAAAGCCACATTCATTGGGCTAAAACTGTCAAATCTTCACCAGATGTCATTGAGATGTCGTTTTTTCCAATCACAATGCTCCTTGAGGGAGTGAAAGGAAAGGAACATTTGTCACGTGCCATAAATCTCTACCTTGAATGTAAGGAAGAAGCGATACTGCACAAGTTTCTTTAGGGTCCGTTTGGTACACAGAATTGACAGAATTGGAATTGAATTGAAAATTAAAATCCTATTGAATTGATTTGGATGGAATCGAATTCTCCAATTCCAATTTATTTTTGGCACTTCCAATTCTAAATCCACGTATTTTTGTGCTACCAAACAACAGAATTGGAATGGTTGTCCTCAGTTCCAATTTCATAGCTTGAATTCTGTGTACCAAATGGAACCTTAATTCTTTTCCCACTTATTCCCTGAATACTAAATTATACGGAGTACCTCGTGTGTCCCATGCCAAAGGACACTGAGTTTTTTTTTGTGGAGATTAAGGAAACTTGTAGGGTAGGGAAAGAGTCTAAGAGTGATTGAAAAAGCAAAAGAGAGTGTACAAGTGATTGAAAAGATTAAAAAAGCATGATTGAAAAAAATTAGGCTGTTATGTCAAAAATTAGGGGTGTGCCTTTTGGGATGGGACAACAGAAAAGGTGGTTTGTGCCCTTTGGCACAGGATGGAGGGTGTATGTCTTTATTGGCGGCTGGTTATTGATTCTGATAACGTTCATTGCAGACAAGCCTCAAATTGAAGAATTGAGATATTTCCTCGAGTTTCAGATCCCTCGAATATGGGCACCTCTTCAGGACAGGCATCCTGGCCAACACAGAAAGGAACCTGTCTGCCCATCACTGCAGTTTAGCATGATGGGTCAAAAGCTTTATGTCTGCCAAGAGCAGGTAATCTCAACATTGGTTTGAGTTTTCAATTCCAATGAGCCATCATCAAAATGGAGTCGTTTTTTATCTAAAGTATGTTAAATAGGCTCATCTACGTGAACCTCACCTTTGACACCATAGTGTCTCACAGACAGTTCCTGCACAATTGACACCATAGTGTCTCACAGACAGTTCCCGCACATTTGACACCATAGTGTTGCACAGAATGTTCTTGCATAGACAGCTGTTTTGATGTTATATATTGGTATGACACAGGTTTCAGTTGGGCGTAAGCCTGTAACTGGTATGAGGCTAACTCTGGAAGGGGTGAAGAAGAATCGACTCAGCATCCATCTTCAGCATCTGGCATCTTTGCCTAAGCTACTTCAGCCATATTGGGACTCCCACATTGCTATTGGTGCACCCAAGTGGCAAGGACCCGAGGAACAAGACAGCCGGTGGTTTGAGCCTGTAAAGTGGAAGAACTTTTCACATGTGAGCACTGCCCCAATCGATTGCCCCGAAGCTTTCGTTGGCGACCTTTCTGGGGTGCACATTGTCACTGGGGCCCAGCTCGGGGTGTGGGATTTCGGGTCAAGAAATGTCTTATACATGAAGCTGTTGTACTCTAGGGTACCCGGATGCACCATGAGGAGGTCATCGTGGGACCACACCCCAGACGATAAGTTGAAAAGGCAAACCCCAAGTGGTGGTGGTGGTGGAGACACAACAAGCCTTGTAGTTTTGGGTGAGAACACGGTGGTCGACAATAAGTTGGCGAAATTCGTTGATATGACAGAGATGTGCAAGGGACCGCGAGATCTTCCAGGTCACTGGTTGGTGACAGGGGGAAAACTCAGTGTTGAGAAGGGGAAAATTGTTTTGAGACTGAAGCATTCTTTGCTGAATTATTAAAGCAATTTGAGGGAAAAAAATGTGCCTCTCCTCTCATCCATATATATGTTTAAGGTAGCTTGGGCTGTGGTTTTGGTGTATATTCGCCCTCTTTTTTTACTGCATAAATGGGAATGGTATTGTTTGATATGTTTGTGGTGAAAGGGTTATTACACTGGTAGGTGGTTTTGGATGTACAAATTTAATTATAGTTTGAACAAAAAAAATATTTTCATTACATATGATCTTTTTTCAATAAAAAAATCCAAACAAGTTAAGTAATATGCATGTTAATTAAACTGATCGTAAAGTAAAAAAATTGTCTTATGATATTTCTATTTTAAAAAAGAATGAACCCATCCTCCAGGGTTATCAAAACCAGCAAGACCTGAGACGAGGAAAATTGGGTTTTACCCACAGATTGGTGCCAACAAGTTGTAGATGTTTTATATTTAACATAGTTGTCTTGGCACAATAACTAGGAATCAAACTCGAGTATTATCCTCGGAGCATCTCTTACTTTGCTAATTGCACAACACTCACCGACGATATTTCTTTTGTAGGTGTACATTCCATAGAACACTATACATATGGAGGGATGATACAAATTGCTGATACACATTGAGTATATTAATATAACGTTATACTCCATAGAAAAGATGTTTATATACTCCGTAATTAATTGAAGGGAGAATAACTAAACTAAGAGTAAAAGATATGTCATATTCTTACCATAGGAGTTCAAATTTAAACACCTCTAGGAGTACTTGACTTAATTAATCTGATACTCTTATTTTCTTCCCTGTATGCCTTTCTTAACTAGCGTTGAGCAAATTCACCGGACCGACCGTGAAACCGAAAACCGAAGTAACCGCTAAATTAATTTCGGTTTCAGTTTCGGTTTTTCATGATAAAAAGTTCAGTTATTTCAGGTACTTTGGTTTTGTGTTGGTTTTGGTTATCGGTTTATTCAGTGAACCGAATAACCGATATATGTGTTTTTTTGGGTAAACCAAGATAGAAGTTTACTAGTTATTAATATGAAATTTTTAAAGCCCAATAGCAAGTCAGCCCACTTTATTATCCAAAAATGGGAATTGTGTGATCAGGATGTCTCTACATGGCTAATGAGTAGTGACAGGGAAACCCTTCGCTTTCTGGAACCAGAAGATCCGCCCTGATGGTGGGCGTCGCCATCGTCTGCATCCACGCTCCATTTTGGGAACCAGAAGATCTCTTTCTAGACGAGCAAGAGACACCCGTCACCGGGTTCCAATCCTTCTTGAACGCCGACCCCTGCTCCCGGCTTGCCCCTCGGCCATGGACTTGAGCGGCGGGTCTGTGATCTGGAAATCACAGCGGCGGTGGTAGCAATTTTTTGGCCGTTCATATCAAAATGAGGAAAATTTACAATTTGACCTGGAGGGGAATTACTCATTTAGTGGTTGAGAAAACAATTTAATCCATTGTTTTAGAACAACAATTGGATTCTGCTGTTTCTGCTAATATTGGAAGTCCCAGTGCTTCTCGTGATGGTTCCAGCAGTGGTACATGTAACTATTTTTTTATTTTTTGTATGGGTGCTATGGAATTTGGTTTTTAACAACCGACCGAAACCATTTGGTTTAATCGGTTTCGGTTTTGTCGGTTATCAAAATACATCGGTTCGGTTTTGGTCGGATTTTTTGGATCTAAATAAATTTTGGTTAGTTCGGTTTTGACACGAAACCGACCGAACTGACCCGATGCTCATCCCCATTCTTAACTGATGCTTTTCAATTCCATGAAAACTTTTTATGCTCGCAAAGGTTTCAACTTGAACCTTTCAGTTTTAGTGAACAAGGAGCTGAAAGCCATAGATCTTTTTAAAAAGCCACAGAGAAAACTATAAGTCCATTAGTTGAGTAAAATGTGAAGAGTATAACATAAATTTCATTGTACGTTTGTCAACAAGAGATAATCTCAAAACGTTGTAAGCGCCTATACAGAAACTTTTAGAATACTCCAAAGATATATTTATTTGATATCATTTGACGGAAATTCTGAAAGCTCAGAAGTTTCCATACCAATTTTTTTTGTTTCTTCAGCTCTAACAATGAAAAGTTCTCTTCCACTAATCAAGTCCATGAGCAGAGGAAGTTGTTTAACCAAAGGTGTTAAAAAAAAACGTGTTGCACAATAAAAATTGGCGCATAATATGCAATGGCGCATAATTCTCTTCCACAATCTGCAATGGCATCATATATAGTAGTGTTGTAAGTTTTAATACAATGTACCTTCATGTCTTTTTTGAACAAATAAGGTAGATAATTTGTTAGAGAAGGAAAAGGAATATTAGAATATTAGTCTTTGATTTGTATTAGACTTGTATATGGTAGCTTCCTTTTATTTAGCATTCCTAATCCTATTAGGAATACCTTGCTGTATATATATACTCCCCATTGTATTGTAAATAACCAAGAGAGAATACAATAGTTTTTCAGCCCAGAAACACTACTACGTAACATGGTATCGGAGCAAACCTAAAATACTTATTCCTTCGTGTGCTACAGCCGCACGTTACCATCCAGCATCATACGAACTACTTCGTTTTTTTTCCTTTGACGGTGAACGATCTCCCTCCGGCGAACAGCAAGCATGGCAGGCGAGGCAACCCCAAAGGATCTGAAAGCATCACCGAAGAATCATGTGGACGAGAACGATGACGACATGGTGCAAAGACGTCGTCGCATATCGCCATATGATCTCTCACCCAGCGACAATCCGGGTATGCTTTTAACCCAGGTTGTTCTTAAGGGACCAAACTATGACGAATGGTCCAAATCCTTGCGCCTTGCCTTACGGGCTCGCAAGAAATTTGGATTTGTTGATCGATCAATAACGCAGCCGGATCCAGACTCAGACGACTTGGATGATTGGTGGACCAATCATTCGCTTATAGTGTCATGGATACGCAACACGATTGAACCATCGTTGCGATCCACGATCTCTACGGGCGAGTCTGCATCTGATCTATGGGACGAACTGAAGGCATGTTTTTCGGTTGTGAACGGACCTCGCGTCCAACAACTGAAACGTGAAATATCTGAATGTAAACAAAAGGGACTTAGCAT